AGAAGGTTTAAGTCATCGGGTGGTTTCTCAAACTTGACCCACACACACAGGACAAAACGGTTCACCTCAGCGTTTGTTTTGTGAGACAAGAAGTCACATTGGGCTGCATAAAGAAGAGGAAAAACCTCCTCCCTTCATTTATAAATTACAAAATACTCTTCTCCTACTGACTAACTCAGCCTAAAGCCCGAGTCTAAAGAGCCTGATCTTATCGCCAGGGAAAAAGCTGCAATAAACAACTGATCGCTCCTGGAAGAATTTGGAGGGAAAGGTGGCAGTTAAGGAACAAAGCTGTAACTTTTGGGTCAGAAGGAGGTCTATTTTAATATTTTAGAATTACCTATTGCATATTTGTGCAGCACAAAGTGTGGCAGCCAACTTACTTTTGTACATTTTTGAATTAAACTGCAAAATGTTATTAAAAAAATGATAATTATGTATTTGGCACCATCGCTGCCTTTGGATCTCAGCTCTGAGGATCCAGTGAAAGGACCTGAAAGGACAGGTAAAGTTGTACAAATAGTATGAATGAATCAAGGCAATTTCTAGTTCTCCAAACCATGCAGAAAAGTAGGGTGACTTTGTGGGCCATTTCAATACAGATCTTGCCCAGGATCATCCTTCCTTAGGGACAGACTCTTGAAAGCAAACAAGGAAAAAAGCAAACACAAGTGAACATCACTAAGGGACAAAAGGGACAAATTAGATTCTTCATTGAATTCAAACTTTTTGAAGAGCCTAAATTTTTGCTCCGGACCACTTAGAAGTTGTTATATGTTATTAAGGGCTCGCATGATAATTTTTGCCCAGACAGGTGCAAGGGTATGGAAAAGCCTACTGAGAAATCCTCACCAAGTATTGACACCTGTGCAAAAAGAGAGGAAGAAAACCCTGGGATCCTGAGCACAGCAGGATCAGCTCAGGTTTTAACTCACTGGTGCTGGGACCTGAATCAAAAAAAGAGAAACACCTGCCCTCCATACACCTGTACCACGGCTGCGGCCAAGCCTTGAATCAGGGCACTATGTGTCACCAGGCAGCAACGTCACCAAAACGACCAGAACAGCAACGATGCCCGTTTGCATCACGGTGTGCTCAGCCCTTCCGACAGCTCGAGTGTCACGGAGTCAAAAGTTTGCGGACGCACAGTGAGAAGCAGGATTCGTCCCTCGCAATGCCATAATTACCTGTTCTTTGTTTGCATCTTGAAAACAAGTTTCCTTATTGTTATTCTCCCTAAAATCAGTATTAGTGCGTACACCGATGCCCATCTCTTCCCTTGCAGCAAGATGCACAAGGCACACCGAGCAAGCGTGTTTTATAACACCCAGGCGACGCTGAGCGGGATCAGGAGAGGGGCACCTGGGGATCAGAGTGGGATCAGGAGAGGGGCACCTGGGGATCAGAGTGGGATCAGGAGAGGGGGCACCCGGGGATGAGGAAGGGGCACCTCGGAATCAGAGCAGGATCAGGAGAAGGTGCACCTGGGGATCAGGGCGGGATCAGGCAGGGGCACCTGGGGATCAGAGTGGGATCAGGAAGGGGCACCTGGGGATCAGGGTGGCATCAGGACAGGGGCACCTGGGGATCAGAGCAGGATCAGGAAGGGGCACCTCGCGATCAGAGCAGGATCAGGAAGGGGCACCTCGGGATCAAGGTGGGATCAGGACAGGCGCACCTCGGGACCGCGCGCACTACCTGCCCGCAGAGGCGGTCCCAGCCCCGGGCCTGCCCCGCGGTTCCGAAGCGGAACCTCGCACGCAGGGGAGCGCTCCCGTCCCCCCGGCCCTCCCCGGCCACCCGCCGCGTCGCCCACCGCACCTGAGCCGCCCAGATGCTCCTGAAACGCGGCCGGCAGCGCCAGCGCCTCCATCCCGCCTTCACCAGAGGCCTACCACACCGCGGTGCCGCTTCCACGTCCCACGGGACTTTCTCCGCCTGGAAGCTGTCACCAGCACGCCGGGATGGGGGCTCTTGCATCCCTGTTGGACATGGAGCAGGGTCGTGCAGGCGGAGGAGGCTGCGCACAGCCTGCAGTCCCGCCCGGAATTAAAGGCCACGTCGGTCTGTAGCACAGCACAAAGCTCCTTGAGGAGGAACCTTGAGCCCCCCTATCCTGCCTGACCTTCCGGGGCCAGGAGCACATTTCCATGACTAAAGGAGAGGGAGGCTGGGGTCACATAGAGGTATTTTCTCTTTGTGTACATTTCTGCTGCAGGACCCCAGACAAGCTGGCCAAGAAGAGGATGGAGTTTTAGCACCTTCCCCTACCCCTGTGGCTGTGAAACTGTTGAAGCCTCAGATGGAAGGCGCAGAGGTTTTGTACAGATGCAGGAGGGAAGGGCTCAGCCAACAGGCCTCACCCACTGCCGAAATGCAAGAGTTAGCTGAAGGAGTGAGGAGGCCACAGCCATACAGGGACCCTTCATAGCACAGATTCATCCACACTAGCATGGAATTTACCTACGACTAACACCTAGAGCAAGGGCGATAACAAAATGCTCCCCCCAGCGCTGAGTGGAGTGATGATTTTCCTCTCGAGACAACAATATATAGTGTGGGATTCAGCTTCTGGCTTAGCAGTAGCTCACCTGCTAACACACATTGTGTGAGATGGAAAAAAGGTGATGGCAGCAGCCTCATCACTTGGCCCCAGCTATGACCATTCATAAAATAGCGCTTAACAGACAAGTTGGAGGAGGAGAGGGTTTAGAGCAGCAAGTGCCTGAGAGCCTGTGGCTGTCCTGGCTTAGGAGCAGCACTGCCCACAAGCGCTAAACCATCAATCTCCTCCCCATTGCAATGGGGACCACAACTTATTACCTGTAACAAGCATAGAAACTGTCACTCCTTTTCTTCTTCCACCCTCCTTGCTCCAGAAGCTGCTGTCCATTTGCTCATAGCCTCAAAGTTCAGGCAAACAGCCAATTTAGATCAGACAGAAATAACAGTAAAAAGCTGATTTGCTTGCTTACCTTTTTTTCTCCCTTCAGACTACATTGTTCTTGTAACCCAAAGTTTCAGTGCAGGGTTTCAGGACCTGTTAATCACCCCTATCACTTGTAGGCCACAAAAGAAGTAAACATTTAATTTGGCCTTTTTTTTCCCCCCCCTCCTTCAATGACCATTGATGCTCCACCTATGCTGGCAGTCCCTAGGAATTCCACAAAACTCTGGAGAGCTGAGCTGCCCACGGCTGCAGCAAGCTTTGTACGACACAAATGGACAATGCCAGAAGTAGCGTTAAGGAGCTGCATCATCTGGACAACATTATTACTACTGCATGCATAATAAGATATAAATTGTTTGTACAGGGTACTGTTATGTGAAGCATTTAAATATAGGACTAGAAGGAACTTCCAGGTGTGCTCTAGTCCATGTCCTTTTTCCAAGGCAGAACCATGTTTACCACAGAAAACTGTGACTATTTTTAAGCCTTTCCTTGAACTCATACAGTAATTCTTGTGTTAATTATTTGTCCTATCTCCATAGCAGTTAATCACCATTTGTATAAATTCAAAAGCAATAGAACATTACGGCAGGAAAAAAAAAAAAGATAAGGAAAAAAATCATACAGACACTTGATAGTTAACCACATTATTAATACTATCCAGATTTTCTTCTGTATAGAGGTAGTATTTCTTTTTTCTGGGGTAATTACATCTGGTCTATTAATGACTCTTGGATTAGATTGTTGAGACTCCCATTATTTAAACAATAAATTTCTGGCTTTATAGTAAGGTGCATTTCCTCTTTGCCCATGAAGAAGATTGATTGTAACACTAGGGCTTAACAACTAGGGTTTTCCCAATGTTTAATCTAATTTGGTTTGTCATTTAAGCATACTCTTCCTTACCTTATGCAAGGATTTTCACTCCATCCAGATCTTTCATATTCACAGCCTTTTTTAAGTTTTCACTTAGCATTTCTTCCTCTAGATAACAGCAATTCAATCTTTAGCCTTTCTTGACAGCCATACTACCAAACTAATTCACTCAGTCTAGTCCCCTTTTATATTCAAAGCCTCTCATTTCTATTTTACACCTCTAGATGAGGACACCTCAGTTGCTTTGGCCTTTCTTGAAAGGTCCTACTTCTTACCATTCTGATCAACTAGAAAAGATACCAATGAGAATATTTTATCAACATTCTTCCTGAATTATGAAGGTTCCGAGAAGCTATTTAAGTCTGACTATATCTGAGAAGCTAATAAAGACTGACAAGGAGGAATTAGAATGTCTAATTCCAATGCTTGCTAACAATGCATGCTAAAATACGCCAGCTTATGATTCCCAGTCCATTTGCTTCTTCTGACACTGTTGCCTAGCAATCCTGCATCTGTGAAATGTTCCATATTGATCTTCATGTTTATTTACACGCCCAGGTCTCCCCCATCACCTTTTGCAATCTGTAAAGATTGGGGTCATCTGCAGAATAAATACATGTTATACTTCTTCATTCAAATATACAGTGATATCAGACCAAAAAAGCAGTATACAGTAAAAAGACTCATCACAGAGTCAATCTTCATTTCCCATGCCTGTGAGATTAACAGTGATAAATATTGCTAAATATATGCACACCATGGAAGGGAGCAAGTAAATTATGAAAAAAAATTATTGCACTAGTCTTAAGACAGTTACCACAATTTTATGGTTAAATTCCAACTTGTTTTATATCAGCAAGTTTTGTGAGCAGTTTTTACCAGCTTTGCTTACAAAAACCATTGCAAGTCAAGTTCTAAATGATTACTCATATTGTACAAGCTCCATAAAAGGAATAACCATCTTCTGTTCTTTTCCATCTCAAACAGGGGCAGAGCAACTTTGTGTCCCACAAGAAGCACAGCTTGTCCTCAAAATAGTGTGCGCTTTTACCGCTAGACAGCTAAAATACAGCAGTCATTATCAGTATTCCAGTGTCACCTGTAGTCCTGGTCCCAGACATATCTTTTGCACACAATCATAGGCATCCAAGACAAGTACCGTGTCATTTCATCTCTAAAATTCACATTAGTGCTTCTCCAACTGGATCCTCTAACGCCTTTTTTTGCTCTTGGGAAGTACTTCTGAAAGGAAATAAAAAGATTTTTCTGACAAGGCTTTCAATCCATTTTGCCTCATTGGAATGATTAAAATAGAATAACTTCTACTCAATACAGAAAATGAATTAGATGAGCTCTTGAGAGCCCCTCCTAACCCCTCTCCACATAACTTTTAATATAAAAAATATTTCCAGATTCTATAGCATATAGTTTCATTCAAAATAGCAATAAAATTCCATGAATATAAAATACTACACTTCAAAGCTTATTTAAATAAGCATCTTTCTGCTTCCCATGAACTCTAAGATTTTACTGTGAATTTCACAATGCAATACTCACAAACACTTGACACCCACAGAGATGGACTATGAGTACTCTAATTGCTTCAGAACTTGCTGGGGTAGTTATTCAGGGAAATAGAGAATATCCCTGATTTAAAGAGGAACTGGTTTTGTTCACAGTAACTTAAAGGAAGTGTAAGCAATTCAAGTACAATATTAAATGCACCATTATGCTTTCAATCTGAGCATCTAAAACTCAAAAACTTTCTGTCTATACTGTCTATAGTGACTAGGGTGTTCTCTTTTTAATCCTATAAGATGCTCTTACGCTTTTGAAAAGAGCAAAGAAATGCACCATCTCACTACAAAGCTATTTTAATATTTCTATCTAAATATATGAAGCACCTTCTTTTACATGCAATTTGGGATAGTTTTAAAAGATGTATTTCTCGGATTTTATAGCATTAAAGCTATAAAGCTATACTTAAACTTATTTGGGATAGTTTTAAAAGATGTATTTTTCGGATTCTATAGCATTAAAGCTTTTCAGTAGTCAAACTTGGTCTCTTTCAAGTAACCTAATAAAATACTACTCTTTCAAGCTAAGAACCAGTCTCTGGTCTATCAAAGCAGCTTTCCACTACACAAGCCAGCTACATCAGCCAGACTAGCTAGAAACTGGCAGTGGAAATCATGCCTTTATCTGGCCAGCTCCTGTCCAAGGAGTACCAGGGCAGAAGGTGGCACAGCTGCAAAACAGAGCCCCCCAGAGCACTGCTGAAGGAGGTATCTCGAGATGGAAGAGGTACAGTGTTCCAGGGTGTTCTGTTCTCAGTGTATGTTCTCCTCAAATAACATGGAAACATCTCTAGCTTGGGAGCTGCAGATCAATTCAAGCTCATCTGACATCTCGCTTTTTACTAAACGCATTGTTGGCCTTCACAGAGTAACTCCATCAGCAGCTCTAAGAAGCCTAATTGCAGCTACTTACAAATAACGACTATAGTATTTGGAATCACTTATGTTACTGAATAGTCATCGCTTCAGCTCCAAGTCCCAGAATTCTACAGTTATATGTCAGACAAGGAAGCTATTACTGTACATATACTAGTTTGGAACTTAATCCCAGAAGGTTTGCTCAGCTGAACCTAAACTTCTTTATCTCCTCATTCCCGTGAATGATGAACGCCACAGATGCTGCTCTGGCCCCAAATGCAGATTACAGAAGTGTCAGAGTTACTACCAATAAGCATCTTCAGTAAGTGGGAGATGAACTGAAAGCAACTTTCCCTCATGTTGCATACTCGAACTCTTCAAAATAGATACATAACACAAGATGAGTCTCACTTGAAGTGGATCAGTTTCATTGTGGACGTACTACAGTGAAGTCTGTGTGGAAAAAGTCCATGACTTGCAGTACAGTGTCATCACATGCGTGCTCAAAAAAAAGCATCAGGGTAAAGCTTCCTTTTTCATGTGATTCTATATGGAGAACAATGCACTGGCTAAACACAAACCTCATCTTTGCAAATCATGGTCTAAACTATCAATGTTCATTGCAGAAAAATGCAGAAGAATAGTGAGTTATTAAAAACAGCTCTCCAGTTGGTTAGAATTTCAGCTGTACCTTCATCTGAGGTGTCTTCTTCTGTGATTACTGGCATCCCAACATGCCTAGTAACAGTTTCCTTCATTGTCCGCATGTCACCTGCGGATAGATTTATGGAGAGAAAATAAACAAACACCCCCCACAAAAAGCAAAACACAACACTAACATCAACTTTTGCTTCTACATGAAAAATTTCCATGTTACAATTCTGCAGTCTTTTTCTGACTGCATTAAACAAGGAACTTCATTGAGCACATACAAAGCCATCCTGGTGCTTTTTCTATATTGATACATACACATATATCTACCAATCTGTTCTCTTATATCCAGATAACCTGGAACTGTATAGAGCACGAGCAGTTAATAGTGTTTTCTTCCAGGGTATATTTTCAAAAAGGAAAAAAAAAAAAAAAAAAAAAAACACACGAAAGGCACAAATAGTGGAATTAGAACCCCATATCTGTTTTAAAATTTTTTGCTTCTTAAAATTGCCTTTATTTTATTTCTAGCTAAAAAGATAGAGTATTTCTCAGGAGAAAGAGTAAAATTACAGAACAAAGACAGAAACAGTGAGCCACAGAACTATGAAAACTTTTGCCAAGAAGGACAAAGGTAAGTCTAGCTTCAAACTAATTAAAAGTTTGAACAATTAGGATATAATAATTGCAGGATTAAAAAAACAATTAGAAGAGAATTTTAAAGCTGCATCAATTGTCAGCACCAGACAGGTTTCAATTCACTCGGAAGTGAAGGTTTCAATAACAAAACAAATAATGAGTGTCAGATGTAAAGAGAACGACTGAAGCAATAGCATAGCTCCCCATCCTGTAAAGCATTAAGACACATGTAATTTGCTCTTCAAAAATATTAACGGGTATTCCTTCAAGGGCCCAGTAGGAAGGGGGCACAACACAGAGGTTTTAATGTACCTTGGTGGAATGCAAAGTAACTACAAAATTGCCAACCTGCTTCTATTTTTATGAAGATCAACCAGGAGAAACAGATGCATATCTTAATCACCACTAAGTGTTTTGTATGGCAACATGCACAATTCAAACACTGCCAGCAAAGTAGCTAACAGTTCCTTTTCCAAGGAAAAAAATGAAAAATTATGTATGAGATTTCAGATTTACTATAAACTGCATGCACTCTCTCTACTCAGAGTGTGAACAACAGTCAGGCAAGTTCAGTTGTGACAGGGGCATCAGAATTTATTTTTATTATTATTATTATTATTATTTTAATCTTCTACCTCCAAAGACAAACACCAAAATTCAACCAAGCAGCAGACAAACTTTTGGAGTATCTTCAGATTCACCAAAGTAATAAAAACATACCTTGGCTTCCTGCAGAATTTTTACTCCTTGCCATCTGTGGTCTTTTACTACTTTTTTTACTCCTGCTTTGAGATTTCCCATAATCTGATCCTGAGTCAGAAGATTCTAGTTTCACTTGACGGTGTCTTCTGGATTTGGAGGCCTAAAATCCACGGAAATTTATATGTGATAAAGAAAAGCTAAACTGCTACAGTCATGTATTACCCCCATTTTCCAGGCTGGACTGCTCTACATCTCAAAGTTGTTTCACTTACATTTCACTTATATATCCAAATGAGACTTTAACAACTAAAAAAAAAAATGTAACATTTACCATAGGTTTGACAATTCATTACTAGTATTTCCAAACTAGTAGTTATTGAAACAATGTTCTCAAGATCTGCCAAGGGACTTTAAGCCTCTGAAGTGTCTTCAGAGCTTTCAATATCCGAGCTCCAAGGTCAATGGGATGTAATGGATCAAACACTTCAAGTTTTTTTCTGATTTTTTTTTATTCCATCTACTTAGAAAAAGCGTGCATTGACATAAAAAATAACTTGTGAACAAAAACTCGCCAAGCAGGGACAATTTCAGACTTAAAACAAAAATCTGCTTATTCATACTTAATTGCATTGTTTCCATAAACCTAACAAAAATACAAAAGCTTTTTGTTTTCCCAGTGTGTTCTCAGCAGGATAACTAGGACATTTAAAAGTTGAATTAGAGTGCAGTTTAGCTCCTTTTTTTGATCAATTGTTTATGTTAAGCTGGTACTTACAGCTCATTTTAAAAATAAACCACATCCCTATAATCTAACCTCATACCTTACCTCAACAACTGCAGAATAGGATCTGTACTTGATTTTAGCCAATGCATTTGCTCTTTCAGAACCCTATAAAGAAGCAAAGAAATCTGTAAGGAATAATAACTACATTCTGTAACAATACTAAAGGACAATATCATATTAGGAAAATAGTTGAACAATATCTCACTAGAGTTGTAATTTTGTAAGAAGTGCTGCAGAATTCATGCTTAGTTTAAAGAAAAGTAGTAGTCTAAAGTTGATAAAGGCAAAAATTTTGATGGCCTTTATCAGTAAAGAAAGAAACTGAAATCTGAAATTTCACTCCCTGCTTAAATTCAAGGCCGAAATAAGCAGGTATTTAAACAGCAGGCAGAACGTTAGACAGTTTTGTGGCGTAACTAGTGAATATTGCACTTAGTTGAAACTGCAGGAGAAACCATAAAGTTTGGCCAAGACAACACAGCTACATCCCCTCCTTACCTTAAAGGAACCATGGTTTAGCATAAGCATCTAAAAGCTTCACTAAGCTCACTACTAAAAGTAATGAATATTAACATGAGAACAGCCCAATTAAAAAAATAGAAATAGAAACAAAACCCCAACCCAACTCCACTATTACTATAATTTGGTTTGATAATTTCTCAACTTCAGGACTTGATAATAACAAATTTGGTCTGTAAAGTGTGGTCAACTGCATAATTTTTCTTACTTCTGATGCTAGAGAGGTCCCTTCTTCCACTCTGTTTAGTATTTCATCAGCCTCTTTAGCATCTAAGAATAATTTCTGGGGAAAAAGAAAAAAATCAATTTTAAAATATCTACCATACACAAAGCAAGAGAAAGCCAAGAACTATGCAGAGAATAAACCAAATAAGTTAACCACATACCTTTGTTTTCCTCACACCCCTTATGTTACAGTAACATTGGCTTTGTTGACCGCAAAATTAGTGTAACAGAGATGCTTAATGCACTCATTTTATTACCCTTAAGCCACTTCTACCAGGCTTACATTTGACTATATATTTAGCTTATTAGAGAGACAGCATCACATCCCAATCCCCAGAAGTCCAGTGTTTTACTTATTCCATGTCTTAGTCATTGCCGGGGTTTTTTTTGTTTGTTTGTTTTTACACTTGGTATGTCTAAGATCTACAAAGCACACTTGGATGTCATGAAGCTAAATCAGCTAGCTCTTAAATGTTAATTTAAAGCATTACATTGCCACAGCATAATGGTCAGTATAACCTACCATTCTTTTTTGCTGCCATTCCTGATGTTCCAAAGTTATATCTTTAAGATTAACTACAAATTCATCCTTTATCAAGCTCAGAGCCTTGTCTGGCTGAGATTTGTCAGCTGAAATGACACACTTTATTTTCTGATAATGCTCATGAATATTCATCAGTTCCTAAAAGAAAAACAACAATGATAAAATAAATGGTGGGAGAAGTGCGGGGGCGGGGGGAGGGTGGAAAATCAACAAATCAGAATTAGTTCTCAGTGAAGAAAACCAGGGTTAAACAAATCACTAAATAAGAATGAGTATTATTAATGTTTTCACTTGTCCCCTTCCCTTTTAGGCCATATTACAGGTGCTTGCAAAACACTAGAGCACATTTTACAGCTGAAAAATTACCCCAGGTCTTCCAAAATGAATGCCATGTTTCTGGATGCTAAGTAAAGTTCCTGGCACAGACTATCATGCTGATATACATACTATATAGTATTGATGAATATCTTCAAAGTTACTGTACCTCCAGTACATCATTAGTGATGAGGCTGTTTACTCGGTTACTTGGGTCTTTAAACTCTTCTTTAAATTCATTTTCCTGGATCTTCTTCTTAGTTCTGTAGTTTAACTAAAGCAAGAGAGACAACGCTTCATAACTTGACTAGTAAACTTAAAGCTGCATCTCCTCTTCAAATTTCTCACTGTATATCCAGCAGTCAAAAAGTGCTGATAGGCATATTCCACAGATAATACATAACTTTATTATCAAGTGCTCAGAGCCAGCACTTTTTAAATTTAGCATTTCCTACTCCCTAGCCAAGAATTTAATTAAGCACTCAGACTCATGTGTTTGAAATTCCCACAGATTAAAAGGAACTTCAACCTTAAAAATATTTTTCAACAGCAAATATTTTTATTGAGAGTAGTATACCTAGTTACATAAAGCCAGACAAAGTGGGTTTTAACAGCATCAAAGATGAACTAAATACATCAGTGTTGCTGAACTCAGTCAGCAACAGAAAAGTGAAGATCTCTTAAAGAACAGCAAGTCATTAATGTGTCACTCACTAGCTTTGGCATGGCTGTGAAGTGGAAAGCTCTGGCAACTCGCAGTTTCCTAAAGACATAGGCTGCATCATAATGCTGGGACTCTATCAGGTCCTGTTGAAACCTCTGGATTTCAGGCCAATCCCTGAGCGCAATTCTGATCTGCAACAGAAGCGTATGTTGTTATATGAAAGTGCATTTCAAATCTACTTTGGAATTCAACTTCTCTTTCGATCTCTCCGAGGCACAAAAAAAGACCAAAAGCTTCCCTCTCCAGGGAATATATTATTACACAGCCTTCCAGTTTTCTTAGTCTGCTCTACTAAGCACACAAAATAAGCTCCTGAAATGTATCCTTTCCGTACTAAGAAATAAGCATGCACTAGCAACAGTTCTCTTCAGACACAATTCTTAAGTCATATCATTTAACATAAATCCATGGAATCTTCCTCTGCTAAGACAGCTTCCACAGGTAGCTAGAGCTAAAAAATGTAGCTCCACTGCAAGATGTGGTTCCAGTGGATAAGAACTGTCACTAATTTAGTCAGTTTTCATTCTATCGAAATTCTAAGGAGCAAATGGAGCTGTAGGGAAGGTTTCTCCACAGTTGATAAACATGCTTCAGTTCCCCATTCCTTTTGAAAGGGAAGAAAGCCTTAGCTTGGAAAGCTTC